AATCACTGATCTACGGTGTCTTGAAAAACCTCCCCTTCTCTGAGAATACTAGGGAATATACTATTTTTTCATTTTGCTCAGGCAAGAGAACTGACCAATAAATAATGTTATATAGGCATTATCAGTGATATAGTAAAAAAACAAACAAACCCTGATCAGTTGGCAAATCAATATTAGGCATATTACCAAGAACTTACTGAGTCAAAATTACCTTTCATTTATGCTGCTGAAAATCTCTTGTCAATATTTTTTAGAAAGAGGACAAGCACCAGGGAACTTGGTGCCAGAGCAAGAAAGTGAGGGAAGTTTAGCGCAGGAGTTAGACAAGATGGACACGGGGGAGCGGGAGAAGGGAGCTGCCAGCAGAGGACTGAGTCTGTCTTCTCCCAGAACAATATGCTAATTACACTTTTTGCTAACGCAAGTCTATCTCCTTCTTGGAGGAGAATATGAAATGACTCACCCACTAAACTTTGTAGTTGTGTGGGAATTTGAATCAAGAACTTCTTGAACCCACTCCAACATCTAACCACTTCAGGACACCAGTTCTCAGCTACTATGAACTAAGTAGAAATTGGGGTCGTCCCTTTGTTACACATCTGGCTTCAAGGACAAGGGTTTTTATGTATACTACCTGCTATCTTTGAATGATAGCATCAGAATCTCTTCTACGCGGATCAGGTGATATGGAGGGCAGTGAGAATAACTCATGATCAACTATCTTCTAAGATCAAGAATGGAAGTAGGCCAAGTACACTTTATAATTCAAGGTAGATCTGATGGTGGAAGTTGAAAAGGAATATTTATCTCCAGCATGGGGTTTTGTTATAGGCACTGATACTGAGGATACTGGAACATGCTGGTGAATATGGAGTCAGAACTTACTTCAGGCATTCCATGTCTAGCTCCATTGATAATATATCCACATTTTATCAAAGACAGAGCCATACAACTGAAACCATGGAAAAAGAAGGATCTTTATCGAATAAAAGGGTTTTATAAAAAGTCAATGTCTTACACCCAAGATTGCAAATAAACATCTATTTCTTTTTGAATTTTTTTTTTACAGAACCGAAGGGTATACTATATATTAAAAAATTTCTCAAATTTTCTTTGAAATACATTATGATGAATCCACCACAAGGCTAAAAGAAGCTGGGGATTTAGATTGAGAGATTGGTAGTCTCTGCGACAGCATGAAGGATTCTTACCAGCATCTATACAGGAAATACGTCTTAAACTTTTAAATCAGCGACATCAAACCCTGATAAGAATCTCACATATATCTTCTAAATAGTGTGAATGAGTTTCTGGCAAGGCTATAGGCTGAAGGAAACATTATTTCACCTCTCGTGGGAATGTGATAAAGTTTTAGATTTTGGAAGAAGATGTTTAATAAAATGTCATATACTGTCAGCCCCACTAAGTAGACCAGACCAGGAAATTAACCCCATAGGTTGATATTAATTATACAATTAATATTAATAATTTGGATGAAGAGTTGGAGACGTTTATCAAATTTGTAGATGATACTGAACCCCCTAGATGAGAAATAAAATTCAATATATCTAGAGAAGTTAGAGCCATGATTCTCTACATTTTCCTAATATAAGAAGCAGCTTTTAACCTACAAAAAAATATATGGAAGCCCCCCCCCCATGATAAGAACTACATTTTTAGTGTCTTTCAGCATATTTTTATGTATGTTGACAGAAATAAAACATAATGAAAAAACCTATTACTTCATAACGTTTTAAATGAATGATATTTTATTAATCACAAAATTAATATTACATAGACATGTCAGTATTTATTCATTCTGCAGAAGGTTACCATTACTTTTCTGTTCAGGAAAAACTTCTGCAGTTAAGTGAGGACTTTTCTCACAACAAAGGATAAACAAAAGAAGCTAAAAAGAAAGATTTATAATGACCCCAACTCCCACCTCTCTGTTTACTTATTGTCTTAGATACAACCGAGATAGCTATTCTTTTTTTTGTTTGTTTTAATGCTCTCAAATTGCAGAGCTTAGAGCTGTTAATTTTGTCCAGCCTCATACCAGAGGCCCCAAGACCCCTCCACGAACGTGCACCACAATACAATTCCTGTGTCCTCTAGATTAACTGCAGTTAGAATTGCAGAGAGTAAACACGTGCTTACTCATAAAAGCACACTTGGAATCCACAGTCATCTTGGCTCTTTCTTAATGAACTTTCCTTTTCGCTTGTTTTAGTTCTTTCACAGAAGTTTGAGACTCACTGACAGACTTGGGTTTACAAGCAGAAAAGAGAAACTCAAAACAAATTGCCATTTTAGAAGCTCAGAAAGAAATTCTAAAGTTTCTTGTTTTTGACAGTGAACATAATGAAGCAATGGATCACTTTGTCTTTTAGGATCAGCTATCAATAGCAAAAGAACTAGCAAGCAGCTACTACCACTTGGCAAAGCAGCCACGAAAGCCTTGGAAAAGCATGATGGGTCTATACCAATGTTGTCCAAACTTGGCCACTTTAAGATGAGTGGACTTCAACTCCCAGAATGGGGCTGGGGAATTCTGGGATTTGAAGT